CACTGAAGAATACTTTCAGAAGCAGCCTGAATTAATCAGGAAGCAGGCACTTAAGAAGCAGATAAAGGTTACCAAGCTCAGCCTGAAAGATGAGCTTCAGTCAAACTCAGCAAAATCTCACCCATCTGCTCAGCCTCCAAATATGAAAGTAACCGAAAAGTTCACTGGACAAATGTTTACCCATTACTCAAGGTCCATGGTAAGCCCCCAGCTCCCTGGCTGTAAATGCTTCAGGTTTGGGGCTCTGTGGTCTAGCAATTTCTGACATCGCAGTAAGAACGATGCCTTCAGCATTTATCAGCTACTTGGCAGGAGGAAGACACACAGCGTGCAAGAAAGTACCAGCTGGATCTTCATACTCGCTTATCCCAGCATCTAGACAGCAGAAGGGAGCTCACACTGCAGACATGGAGAGGAGATCTTGAAACCTCTTCCTGAAACTTTTCTACATGGATCCAGGCCCAGCATGCTGCCAGCGGCCATGCAGCTTGCATGACAATTCTGGCCCCAGATGTGGCAAGAAGCCAAGAATTACTCACATCACAGGAACACCTGCCAGACGCATGAGAGTGTTGAAAGAAACAGGTTCAGAGCATGCAAGCACAGCAAAAAACACTCAAGAAAAAAGGCTCAAGGGTTAATGCAAAATCTAATCCACAAGTCCTCCAGGGGCCAGGAGCCTCCAAGAAGTTAGCTATTTGCTACCTACCAGCAGTGAGGACTGGGCACGAAGGGACCACAGTGCAGAGGTCCGAGGCCATTGCCCAGCCTGCTGGGAGTCTTTCTGGATCCCAAAAACTGTCACTCCTGGAGAAGACAGCCTTGTGGGAAAGTAAAGGGAGCTGTGACAGGAAGGCCTTGCCAGATTTCAGGAAAAGAGCAGGGCTCTCCCCAGTGACAGATGGAGAGTGGAGCCCTACTACAGCCTTGCTTTGGCTTGGCTGCTTTGTTCATACACACGGGGAAGTGGCTGAGGGTCACTGAAGCAGCACAAGCCACAGTTTTGCCAGCACAACACAACACTATCGGCACAGCACGGCAACTCTGCGATACCAGGAAGGCATTCCAACCAGAAGAATAACCCGAGTGTGTAAAGCTTTGGATTTAAACCACACAAAGCACATACGCACAGAAATACAAAGCTTCTAGTTTCGAGTCCTTTCCTTGGAATTTGCAATGTATGAACAAAGCAGGGTGTTGAACACAGGCTTCCTATTCCTGAATTAGCACCCAAGCCAGACACCATTACTGGTCTTAACTTTGTTTTGCCTCCCACAGGCCAAATGAAGGTACACAGAAGATGTTTCAAACTCAAACCTACTCCTGCTAGCATTCACGTGTTGTTATGCTGACTGTGACTGACACCATGGGGCTGGGCCAGCTCCATGTATGTGAGCCGCATTCTGCTGCAGTCCTGGATGGACACAAAGTTGACTTTCATGGAAGGAACACAGAAGAACCATTTTGATACACTGAGCACAGCAGTGGTGTAAAGAAAGCCAAGGGCCAAAGTAGTTTGGAGTGCCAAAGAGAAAACAAGTCTCACCATACACCAGCTACATTTTGCAACAGATAAACCCTGGCACCAGGGATGCGATTCCCTATTAATGCAACCACGCGTCCTGCATCATGAGGCAAGTTCATAAACCAGAGGCTTCAAAGGGGCTTCAATCTCCTCTGCCAGCGAGAAATGACTTGAACTTCTATTTTGATGCTGAACTGCCTTTGCAAATTGCTCCCACTGCCCACAGTTACAGCCATTTAGGTGACAGTCACCTGCTGCTCCTAATCTATTTAACACCAGGGATGAATGAAAAGCAGACAGAACAGTCACAACTGGAAAACAGAGAAATTAGGTAAACATTATTTCTAGTTCCAGGATTCAACAGCTTTGGTTTTACAAGGTAAAACTAAATCATGTATTTTATAAAATTAAAAGCCACTAAATTTAATTCTTTATTTGGTAATTGGTAATTTGTAATACTCTGAACCTAAAGTTCAGCATTAGCAACTGATACAAGCACAGACTAATCAAAATGGACATTAAGTGCAACAATAACCTATAGGGGAGATGACAGCTTAAAGAGGAAGGTCTTTCACTATGCTAGCATAGCCCTGTAGCTGTAGATTTCTTTCAAGAGACTTCTGCTACTCCAACCACACAAGAGAGATTATACTGTCATCTTACAGGAGAAAATAAATTGTTCTGCAACATGAGATCAGAGCTAAATGATCTTCTGTTAAGAGTTTCAGTGAGCAGACTGTCGAAATTTGTGCCCTGAATCTATCAGTGCTTAAATACCGAGGTAAATTTTTCTCAAGCTTTCAAAAGAGCAACACTCAAAAGTAGCCTCAAACCATTTAGAAAAGAAAGCAACAGAGACAGCTCTCTCATTTCATTTCTTTCAGTCCAGAAAGGCACACACGCAACTACTGTGTGTTGGCCTTTGTAACCAACAATTTGCCAGCTGCTTCCCCAGGCAAAGAAGTCAGCGTTTGGTATTCAGAGCATTTGCAGATGTTAGGGTCGTGCAAAGACAACCTCCACTATTCTAAAGAAAAAGCAGCCCTCTGGCCCTCACCTACTGCTGTTACAGGAAAGTACCAGTAGCTGTAAGCAGTGATAACTCCTTATATCCTACCCACAGCTAACAGTGTAACGCATTTAGAGATCCAAGATGTAGCAAACAACACAAAGGCTTCAGCTTTGAATATCGCAAAAATCAAGGGGGGAAAAAAACATTGAAGGATTTTTCTGTTATCAAAGAGCTAAAGGAAGTCGCATGTTGTAACTCTGGCACAGGCAGAAAACAGTCCTCCAGACCTCGCTGCAAACTTTCTGCTGCTGACTCTGCAACCTGTTGATACAAGGGCTGCTGTAAACAAAAATTACATTAGCCTTGGTGGTTTGCAAGATTACAGTCTCATTGTCGCCCAGGCTCCAGCTTTTGCCTGTTTGATCAAAAATTAGTAGAAACTTGTGTTGATTCCTTTGCAGTTCCCCAAGGGAAACAGTCAATACTAAGCAGTACAAAGGACAGTAGGAAAGCAACTGGTGCAGAAAAATATGCCTTTATCTAACTTGCAAACCTCACTTACCATAGCTATTAAAACAACTACAGATAAGATACTGATGTCAAAAGCACAAACTCAGCATCTTAGGAGCCCTGAACAAGTTCTGTTCACATAACACAAGCCACTTTTTGAAGGACAAAGAAAATTTCCCCAACCCCTCCAACTAATATTACCAATAAAAGCAAGAGCAGCACTGGTAAAGCTAACCTGTAACCACCATGCAAAATCTAGAATGCCAGAATCAGACTAACTTCTGAGTAATTCAATGCTTAAATCATAATTATCTGGGGCTTCTTTTCATAGAGACAGGTAAACAAAAAGCTTCAAGGCAGACATTTTTACTAGCTCCCTACTTTAAAGAGTCCGACTTCACAAAAAATTGCACAAAAGAAATTCCTTTCCACAAGTGGAAGGCTCATGTTCTGAAGTACACTTATAAGGCAAGCTTCCCTGTAAATCAACCCTCTCCTTTAAGTGATACACTTCTATGCTAATGTTAGGACATGACACTCACCTGCAACACACAGATGGACACATCCAGACTCCAAATAAGATTGCACGCTAATTTCATGCAACCCCAAAACACCAGGACACAATTCTGCCGTATGCAATCTGATGATACGTCAGAACCCAATAATGCTTTTGTAGAACAGCCCTGCAATCCTTATAGCTTCATCCATTCTCACCTAGAAGGACATCACGTTTGAACCAGGAAAAAAAAAAAACCACACACAACCCCCCCCCCCCAAAAAACCAGGAAGACCGGGGACAAACAGGTTGGTGGGGAATGTGCATCAGAAGACAACATTTCTGTCTGTAATTCTGCCACAGATTTTTATCTGTCCACAGGAAAGACTTAGCCTTTCCTTCACAGAAAGGGTATGACAGATACTCTCTCTCAGAAAAGCTGCAGTGGTACAGTTCTTTGCCATTTCTCCAGTGAATGAAGGGTATTCCTACAGCCTGGATTGTGCAGGGAAATAGGGAAGTCGCTACTATGACTCATGGCTCTCCTCTGATTTTTCAAACAGCTCAGGCAGCAGTGCTGACATGAAAAGCAAGAGCAGCAGAAGCCCCTGCTCTCTGCTTCCTCCTCCAGATTTAGGCAGTGTGGGTGTTATTGATGGGATCTGCTGCCCTCTGCTGTCACACAAAATAGAGGCGAAATTCTTATCTGACAAAACCAGGTTTACAGCTACATATAAAAAAAAAAATTACACCATGGTAATAACCACAAGGTCACAGTGCATTCAGATTTCACGTGGGTTCACCCAGGCCCCTCGGTTCTGGTCTTACGCATTTATAAAATGCCTGCCCCTTTTTGCAGTGCATCCCAAGAGGCATCTTGCAAGCCAAACTCAGCCTAAAATATGCTTTTACCCAGCCTGCTGACCTTTGTTGCAGCTGTTTCTCAGGTAAAAGCACTCAGCTATTAGTCCGTTCAGCAAAACGCCTCTAACTGTCTGCAGATCTTTGTAGTGGGTTGTGCACATCACCAGGGAAAGTGCCAGCAGATACCCTGCCCCCAGCACAGGGGTTGGACTAGACTGAAGGAATAAAATGCGTTACTGCCAACCCTGTGGGGTTATACGTGGTTCTCTCCTTGTCTCAACCTTCACAGTGGCAGTGCCACCGGGAAGCTTTGCCAACCATTTAAACGCTGTCCAGATTGGGGAAGCTTAAGTGGATTTACAGGTACATTTTGAAGTTGAGCAAAGACTGAGGTCTGCATATGAGGATACTCTGCAGCCCTCAGGCAGAAAAATCTCGGCCTCATTTTCCTTGAGGTCTGTATGTACTCATGATAAAAAAGGAAAAAGGAGACGATACACCATGTTTCACAGCACACGTCCATCCTGCCAGCAGAAGAGAAGCACCCAGTTTGCTATGACCCTGCAGTAGACACGTCACATCTGCCAGCTTACCTGACTTCCTCACCAGCAAAATCAAACACTTTGGTGATTGTCACTTTTCCTGAATCTTTTGGCTTCTCAGACTCTTTTGGTTTCTCCTGAAGCTTGTTCCCACTCTTCTCTTCTTCAGCCTGTGAAACATACAAAGGAAAAAGCAAAACAATGCATTTTTGGAGCCAAGCCAAATTATCACTCCAAGGGGCGAGGACCCACCTCAGGTAACACTGCAGTTTAGGCTGGCTGCTCAAAGCCAGTCACCCACAGACAAGAGAAAGGAAACAAACACTCCTGCCACCAGAAGGCAATTCCCCGCTTTTGTTCCAGGCTCTCATTGGAGCTCAGGGATCAAAACAGAGCCAAAACAAGAAGTGAAATTGTAATTAAATCTAGGAAGGAGCAAGAATACACTGCTGTGGTTCAGAAAGCAAGGAAAAGCCTGAAGACTCAGTTCTCCCAAACTAAGCACCACCAGACAGTAAAGCTGCCAGGGTGGATTACACAGAAATAGGTTTATTTTCACTCAAGAATACAGAAGAACAAAACCCAACAGCAGGAAAAGCAAGGCTGATCTTCATAGAGAACCCTGAAGATACTAAGCTACTTGTCAATAACATCTCTTTAATTTGAGAGGGAAATACCTTTATTAAGCTATTTGTCAACAACGCCTCTTAATTTACTCAGTCACAGCTACAGCTTTTAACAGCATACATTTAAAAAAAAAAAACTCAGACCCTGTAAATAATCAAAACAAAACCCAAAATTCTTGCTCTAAATCAACCACACACTGCAGAGATCTTCAAGCAGACATCTTAAGTCCAAATTAAGAAGTTCACAAAGAGAACAGAGGAACTGCATCTCTCCATAAATTATTCTAGGCTATGGAGGAATTTTCAAAGACTGCTCATGATTTAGCAATCTAACCATAAAAGTAGAATTGCTCAGAAAAGAACTCTTCTCTCTCCTCCTAATTCTACCTGTAACTATCTCTGCTGTTCAGCCAGTAACAACTAAGGTGGAGAGAAGCAGAAGGGTTCAGATGGAAGGACGACTCTTCTACAAGTTGCAAGCAAAGATTACACAGCTACACTTGCTCCACAACCTTCCGACAGTTGTAGAAAGAAGTTTCACACAGTGAAGAGAATGGTACACACCAGGCATCACTGATTCAAGAGTCCAGACTTTTGTTACAAAATACTTTTTTTGGTTGACTACTCAAAAAAAAAAAAAAAAAAGAAAAGACAATTCTGGCAACAGAGAGTCAGTTTTGGTACCTTCTTCCCTTCTACCACCTTCAGTGTGAAAGGCTTTGCAAGGCAAATACATGCATTTGGTTTTATTAAGAACCAAATCCTTTTAAACAGCTGATTACACACAATTCTCTCTGCAGAAAACCTCTGCAGACAGAGAGCAAGAGCATGTTAATGGGGTTTACAAAGGAAACTAGAGAAAGCTAGATTCATTCTTGTTAGAAATGTCCATCCCAACATGCAGCATCTTCCAGACCCCCTCACTGTATGAGAATGAAGGGCAAGGCACAGGGATGTCAGCACAGGTCTCTTTTGCTTCCCCACTCACCCATAGAGAATCTCCCTTTTTTTTTTTTTTTTTTGAGCATCAGGAAAGGCACAAGCCTCGGGGGACAGCTGTGCTCACAAGCACAACTCTAACTGAAGCTCACTGTACTGCTCCCACATCACAAGTAGAATCCAGGACCAGGAAGAAAAGCCAACACGGGTCTGTGGGACACTCCCGAGATGGTGACAAGCAGCTCCAAGAGCACATCACAGACCTCCCCAGTTGGAAGGAAACCAGCAGCTTACAGTTTGCCCCATGGTGGGGCTCCAGGCTTACAAAGCAGATGGGGCAGGAGTGAACCCAGCCTCTTCCCAGCTCTGACTGACATTAGGTACCAGCCAGAACCAGCACCGTGTGCTCTAAAGCTTCAGGCCCTTCCCACACTCCCCGGGTGAAGGCCCAGGCCCCTGTTACCTTCTTAGCTTGCGTCACTTGCGTGGTGGCCCCCGCTTTGGGCTTCTGTCCCACATCGCTAAGGAAACTGGCCCAAAGAGCATCTTCTTTCTTTTTTTCTTCTTCTTCTCTGTTTCTTTCCACCTGCTCTACATTATCCACTTCCTCTTCCTCCTCTTCGTTCTGCTGAGCCTTTTCTTCCTCTTTCTCATCTGCCTCTAGCAGGAGCCCTCCTTTCTTCCTTTTCCTGGAAGCAGATGCCAAAGAAAGATACACTGAAGTGCTACAACACTATTCCGGAGCTGAACTGTAAGCACGGGTGAAACAACATGGTATTTCATATCCTCGCTAAGACATTCTATTTGGGAGGTTCCCCCTAATCTTGGGGGTGAAGCTACTTAATTAAAAGATGATGCTGTTCAGAAAACACAGCAAGACTGAAGCAGGCAGGCCCCTTGAAGTGGATGGGCACATGTATGCCTGTATCTGTACATATATAATGGACCCTGGGATGTTGTAGGAACCACGAGGGGAGGGCAACTCGCGCAAGATAGAAAGCAATTGTAAATAAACTTCATATATGTGGCACCGAAAAGCATTTTGTACTTAAAAAGGCTTATTAAAAGGAAAATAACTAGCTCCTGGGGAGGGTTTCCAGGCACGGTGTCTGTCAAGCCTTCGAATCTCTGCCTCTGACGTTAAACCGGAACGAAGAAAAGCATTCCTCGGCCCCTC